CCCCAGCAGTGTTTGTCTTGTGATTTTAAACTTATTTGACAACCTTATGAATTAGGTCTAATAAAAATAAATCCACAAGATACTGATGTACAAGTAACAGTTATTACTGGCATAATGCGCCGTTACTATATTCTTTAGTTTTTATAGAAAGTTGCACGGAATACCCGATTTCGAGGATTCAACGATACCTTATTATCGAGTATTATACGCGATTTCACGGATAATACCCGATTTCGAGTATTCTCTCCGACCTGTTAAAGTTAAAAGACACATTTTCTGTTAGCTTTATGTATATTTGTTTTAAAAGAAATATATATTTTTTTCATTTTTTATTTTAATTTAACAACCAAGAACTGATAAACGTGATGACTTTAACTTTTCAATGGTCAACTTCCCTTACTTATGCAGCAATGTACCTTCATCACCTGCATACGGACCGGAGTTTATATATCTTAGTCGATTCGATAAGAAAGAGCATATCCTATGCATGAATAATTTCTAAAACGAGGAAATTATTGACAAACAAGTTTACGAAACAAGAATATTAGCAGTTTCGTTTAAAGTCTCATTTCGCAAGTTCTCTGGTCGAAACAATGGCCTTGTCAACAAATACTGTTTATCATTGAGTCAAATGCTGACTGACGTTTTTTATAGGTTTTTGCTTATTGTTAGTCAATTATTTAATTATATACTTAATTTACGACCGATTTTTCGGTAATTTCCCGAACATGACATGGAGCACTCGGCTGGTGAGACCGTTCTACAGAGAATGCTCACTCCTCCATGGCACCTGATCCAAATTCTGATGTTTCGGAGGTCCATGGTTTCTCTGCTCCTATTTTGTGTTGCTTTATGGACCTTTGATCTTGAATACTGTTAGTTATCTCCATAAGTTTTATGGTATAACTCATTTCTATATAAAAAGAACGATAACCCATATTTTGCTACTTTTTATGATACATAAATGGAATAAACTAGTAAATGCATACTTATTTATAAGGCTTCTAATATAGCATCTTAAAAAGCATCGAAAATAAATAAACGAAACTATAAAACGTTTCTTTTTTATGATGGAACGTATGAAGTCTTACACATAAATTTATACGTATTTTTATTCTCAGAATAAAATATATACCGAAAAAATACTTATAGAATATTTTGTAAAAATTGAAATAAAAAAGAGAGGGTATTAAGAATGCAATGAAAATGTGCATTATAATGAACTTTAATGAAATATGGATACTATTCAAAAAAGATCTACAAGATATGAAATTTTAAACTTACATAAATACGAGTGTAATATTAAAAACCACTTTTCCAGCATTATTTTATTATATTATTTCTTTTGAATGTTCATCAGAAATAAATATATCTCTAGCTGATTATTGAAAAAATAACACTCATGGTGTGCAATTCACCCACTGTGGTGTCCATTTTTCTAGACTGTTTCTATTTTATAATGTTTCAGGGGGACGCAATTCACGTATATCTATGTAAAAGGATGATGTAAAAGATCATTTTTACAAACTTTAATTATTAATCAGTAAAGTACTATGTTTGCATTATAAGTCTCCAACCTTAACTCTACACATAACCCAAGTGTTTGTCTCTATTTGAATATACGAAAGCATTCTTTGGAAGGGAATTTAATCACGGTCGACTGTCTTCTATTTCTCTGTGTATTGGGAGTTACTCTTCGAAAACACATTAAATCATTTTTGACTGAATTAAAGGCCTGCAACTCAGTATAAGATACAACTGAGCTTACCTAGTAGAAATGTGATAAATAATATAAATATTCAATACATAGTTCGTAAAATACGAGGGTTGTTCGGAAATTATTGAGACAATAACATTTACTCCATAAAGGACGGAGATATTTTCATGAAAATTCATCAACATTTTATAAAGAACGAATAAAGCATTTATGCAAAATTTCTAATTCCTATGATAATAGGATAAGTTTCGGTGAAATTATTAACATGCATATGTCTATCGACCCGGAGCAGTATCGCTGCGTCATTTAACGTCACGTCAGCGGGAGATGGTTTCGCATGTAAAACGTTCGGGAAGCGGTTAATACTTTTTCTTCTTTGTTATAACATATAACATTACAAAAATCAAACAATCTCTTTTTAAACTATTTTTTAAAAATGCATGTTTGCTGTTGCTACCCCAGTGTAAAATTTTCATTCGTGGGTAAGGATGACTTAGAATCATGTAGTCCCGATTTCTGCAACGCGTGTCAAAGATAATAATACCGTAACGATATTAATACCAAATGTAATAACTGATGGTCGTCCGGAGATTTTGATTTTACTCTGGATGAATTAACTGTGTAGAATAAATGTATACAAATGAAGAAACAAACTCTACCACATTTTTCCCTCCTTTTTATTGTTTCAGCAGGTCGTTCAGTCTGGAAAAGAGTTCTACATAGCGGTATACAAAATTTTAGGTATGCTGGCTGCTCCGCCCTTGAGGTCAAAATCAAGTTTTTTCGTTGTTAGCAGATTTCTCTACCGCGCTTAATTTTTTAATGTCTTCTGTATTTCTGATCGAAATTCTAACAAAGTTGCACAACATGATTTTGAAATAAAGCTGAAAAATTTTACACATAAACTGAATTATTTTCGCTCTTACTATGGGTCCACGGAGAGTTAGAACGTTGGTGTTACATATTTTCAGCACGTGATTTCGTGACTGCTCCGGGTACCGCTATCATTGACGCATTTATATACCACTGTACAGAAAATATTTAAATTTTGTAAAATATTTTTTGCTTTTATTAATTCGTAGTGCATATCAAATTTATATGCAAATTTTCACCGAAAGACGCTCATTAGAAAGCAACATATACACAATGTCTCAATAATTTTCGAACAGCCCTCGTATATGAGCAGAACTTTTATTCATATGGAATAGAAAATAGTCATATTTCTTCCCCAATGTATGAAAATTTTTAAATTATCCAATCTAGCTTAAATGTTTGAAAATTACAAAAGTTTATTGAAATAATTCCGGAATATTTCATCGTATTGAATATTTTCTTATAAATTTGTGTTTATAAGAGCAGGCAGAGGGAAGGACAATTTTGTCGCGATTTTCTCATATCTTTAGTTCTTGAAGTCAGAGAGCATTGCTCGCTTGCTTATATACAGGTTCCTCCTTGAGTATCACATCTTGTTTTTCATAGATGTGATCTTCCGTTTTGCTTTTATTGACCAATTCGTAGATATCAGCATTAAAGTGTGAGTACATGGATTCACATTGCATTCTGTCATTGGTTAGTTCACCTGAATTTTCTGTCGGCATCATCATTTCTTCAAGTAACTGTTGCTGATGTGTATTTCTTGTAGAAATCTCAGATTCTTTTGAGCTTGGTTTTATTGAATTAACACATTGTGGATCTTCCTTGGCTCTAAACAATATATATCACTATAGATTATAAATTCATTTGTATATCTCTAAAATGTTAACCAATCATTTAGCTTAGAACTTGAATTATTTTGAATTTGTGATATTTTACAAATGTAATGTAAATGTATGTCTGTAAAAACTTACATAGTTCTTTATCTTGCAGACTATTGAAGTGTTTCACTGATTCTTAAAATTTTACATGTGAAGATGTATACTTGTATGAACTTTCAATATAGTTGTTTGAAATATATATGGTATATATGGATATATAACGTGTTGTATCTCATGATATTGTTTACTTACGCGGGACAGTCCTCTGTATACATTTCTGTAAACGTATATGCAAGGTTGGGGTCGTTTCAAAGATCATTTTGAACATGATCTTCTCAACTGTGGATAATTGACCCCACCTTTGCCAATTTTATAACATTCAAACTATACATTGTATACTCTCTTTATTTACATGTTAAATTCTGGATTTTGTTTTGTATGAAGAAAACTGTATATACATGTTTTACAATTGTTTTCGGCAAACAGTAGTTAATATAGAGTTTGTGTTCTGTTATTATTATACATGTATGTAAGAAATATTTTATAGGTGTAAAGAACAACTGTCCATTTTGTTGGTAACCTTTGATGCTTATATTAACTACAATTTTGTTTATTGATCAAAACCTTTATTTTGATCAATAAAAATTCAACTTCAATATACATTTGTCTTTTGTCCTTTTTCATGGCATTTTGGGAAAAGAGGAGGCATAAATGCAATTTATGTAAATAAATTATTTTATGACAACGAATTTCCATGATTTACATTTCTCACCCTTGGTGAGCCTCATATTTTGTTTAATCAGTAACCCGTATGTAGCCTCTCAACTTTCCTTGGATTTCATTGGCTAAGAGATAGCGTCCCTTTTGTACTAGACTTAGCCTGGAGGAAAACAAAGATTTTTTGGGATCATTTTAACCAGTTTTTTATTTACCCTCCCTCCTCCCCTGAACCACTTTAGAGTGTGGTCAGGATAATTGACCCCACCTTTGCCAATTTTATAACATTCAAACTATACATTGTATACTCTCTTTATTTACATGTTAAATTCTGGATTTTGTTTTGTATGAAGAAAACTGTATATACATGTTTTACAATTGTTTTCGGCAAACAGTAGTTAATATAGAGTTTGTGTTCTGTTATTATTATACATGTATGTAAGAAATATTTTATAGGTGTAAAGAACAACTGTCCATTTTGTTGGTAACCTTTGATGCTTATATTAACTACAATTTTGTTTATTGATCAAAACCTTTATTTTGATCAATAAAAATTCAACTTCAATATACATTTGTCTTTTGTCCTTTTTCATGGCATTTTGGGAAAAGAGGAGGCATAAATGAGTTTAAAATGCTGATATTATTGTTATCAGAAGATATTTATAAACCTCAGGAAACATATAAGTAAAACTAGCAGTTTACTTTGAAAATTACATAATTATAATTAAAGCAGAAAAGCAGAACATTTTAATTGTTCAACTTAACTCACTACAGTTACCATAGAGATATAGCTAGTTATTGAAAAAAAAATTATCCCTGTTACCGCCCTTGTTCCAGATTTTCACAAAAATCAAAACTGTCAAAAAGATTAGTGTTCCCCCTATAACCATTCCAACAATTCCAAAAAAAATTGTGTTGAACTTCGAATTGAGCTAACTTTCCCTTTGATATAGATGAAAAGAAGGTTTTTAGTTGTATGTTTTTATAATAAAAATGCACGTGGTATTTATCATAAAAGAAGCAGTTACACAAAAAGTATAATAAAACTTACAATTGTAATCGTGTGTGTCATTGTTTAGGAAAACCTTTCCTGTAATGGTTCCAGATCCACACTCACTTGAAAAATTGGTTTGGCAGACGATTTCTACATTTTTAACGTTTTTTGACAATTGATAAAGAACACTGCTCTTGAATTTATTCCAAAAGATGTCTTGAATATTTCCTCATTCGGTTCCTCTTGCAAAGGAAGGATTTTAAAGTGTTTGTCTTTTACTGTTCTTATGCACCACCTAATATGCTGAAAAATTAAATCGCTTAAAATAATTTTTCAAAATTTTTGGTGCACTCTAAAATATGAAGCTTGCTTTTAAAGTACATATACAGTATAGAATATGTCAGAACCTTAGAAGTTTCTGCATGGAATGTTCCAGTCGTCGTGTAGCACGTTATTGAGAGGAGGGATCTGTGTCCTATAACATCTTTAGTCATAACAAATGGACCATGGATACTGTTTAACTCTTGCAAAAAGTAAACCATAATGTAAAATGTCATTTAAAAAATTGTAGGATGCATTTATTATGAAATGCAAAAGATAAAGTCATCGAAGACTAATAAATGTTAAAAGAAAAAACAATACCAAAGAAATTAACAAAATCTTGAAGGGTCTAAAATCCCAACACATATCCAATGTTTAGCTCTAACCTTACAGAATGTCGACGCACCTCTACATTAAAAACATGAATAATCGCCCCTACCTTCTTGTGCCTGAAGTGTTATTGTCTTTCGATAGCTTCCATTACCACATTTTGGAAAAGTGGCGAGATACCCTGTTTCACAACTGACTACTGTTTTGAGCTGAGTCTCGTCTAGGTAAATGAACGCCGATATTGTTTGGTTACCGATGCATCCATAGTCCGAAATCTCCTGTGTCCTGTACATTGCTGGCTCTTGAAGATGAAATGTTTCAGAATTGTGGTAGTCGTTGTGTTGACAAAGCGCTATATTCTTCATGAAAGCATAAGAAATTACATGCATTTTGAATAAAATGGCATGCACATAATTACAGGTATTGTTTCTTTCTGCTTGTTGTGTGCTATTGAATTTAAATTGTGCTGACTCAATTCGTGTCAAAAAAAACAAAGAGCGATTTGCTTTTAAGCTTTTCTTAAGACAAAAAATGAGCTTCGTGGTCAAAATGCATTTCTCTCGCTTTACCTGGAAGACTTTTCCATTTCTCATAGGAACTTCCCCTTCACATATTATCTCGATGAGAGTTCCCGGGGGAAATTTCTGCAAGACGCTAGCATTCTCAACGCCTTGATAACGTGTGCGGAAGGATACTAGTCTCGAAGGTTTTCCTGTAAGAAATAAAAAAACCCAACATTTTATAAGAATTCTGTAGAAACTTGTGCCTACATTTACAGGTAAATACTTTCAAAATTATTTTAGATGTATTTTTTACTGTTACATATTAAAAAAATATTACCCGTGATGATAAATTAGAAACCTGTTAAAGAGATTCCTAATGTTCTTTCTGTCTCCGTTTAATTCGTTTCAACAGAACATGATATATTTACACGGTCTTTGCATCCATTTGCAGAAAAAATAGCTTTACATTCGGCACTAATCTGATCACTCCTAAATGGACACGTTACAAGAATGACTTTCGTGTTATTTCTCAAGATTTGTCGGATGACAATGTTTGTACTTGAAACATTTGCTGGACTTGAAAACCATTGACGAGCATTACACTGTACAATATCATTCGGGTAATAAATGCCTAACAATGGATCTTCAAAAGATATGAAATCTAAAAGAAATTAAAGAGTGTATTGTTTTGTTTAATTTTAAATATAATTTTTTAACCCATATGATAACGGAATTACTTCTAAAAACTGTCAGTATTCATCTTTAAAGACATGATATTACATTGTTATTTAATCCTTGAATTTAAAGGGGAAAAATTAAGGTGAAGATTATATGAAATTTACTTAAAGGTACTTGGACACAGATTTGAAGTCAATATTTTCTCTATAATATTACGACGTACTGTATATATTTTAATAGCATTTCACACAAAAAATTTACTAAAAATATCATTTCATTTAAAAGTTATTAAAACTTCAAATTTTTTGGCGGGTTTGATTTACACATCCTTGCACTTTCACAAATTTTAATCTTATTCTTAATCCTTAGGAAAAGTGCCAATTTTGTTGTGTATTAATGAGAAATATTAAAACTTTTATCCAGAAACATAATTTTATTCAGAGTAGAAATGTTAGAAAGCAAAACTCCTTCACAAGTATCGTCATTCCGAACTAAGAGTTGCGTACAGTGTTTACCAAATCGAGCACACTCGTGTTATGTACACAGTTTTTGTAAGCAGGGCACGAGTTCTGTTATTGTTTATGTTTACAATTCACCGGGTGTGTCAGTCGTCACAGTCTGCTTACCAAAACTGCACGGACTGACAATATATTGTGTGTTTGTTTTGCTTTCGAACATGTCTACTCTGAATTTTCTGGATTATAGTATTAATATTTTTTATTTATACAAAACAAGATTGCCACTTTTCCTAAGGATTAAGAATTAAAAATGACGTTAAAATTTGTGAAAGTGCAAGGATGTGTCAATCAAATCCGCAAAAAAAATTGAAATTTTAATATTTTTTACATGAAATAAGATTTTTAATTAATTTTTGTGTGAAATGCTATTAAAATATATGTCATAATATTATAGAGAAAATAATAACTTCAAATCTGTGTCCATGTACCTTTAAACTTAATAATTTGAACATAAATACGAAACTGATTTCTTACAGTTTTGCTCATATGCTTCCAATGAAAAAAATCCAAAGGTACAAAGCAAAGATGCTGCTAGCAAATACATGACTGAAAAATATGTTGCTAAATGATACCTATTGAAAATTGAAAAAGTAAAATAAGGAAGCAAAAAGAAATATCAAATCAACTTAAAAGTCTTTGAACTTTAGTCATAATATAATGTCATTGACTTTAAATATCAATAGATCTGGGACAACTTTGTGCCTGGTTCTGCAGGAAATAGGCGGATATATAATCAGTAGAATTACTTCCTAAGTTAATTAAATTTATTAAAGATTCAGAATCTAAATACCCTCAGAAGTGAACTTAGAATGCTTTTTTCATTTCTCTACAATATAGTTATTGCTAACCAATTTACAAATAATGTAATTATTCTATAAACATTTTTAAGTATTTCAAGTATTTTGAAGTCTTGAAAATAAAAGGGCATTGGATAAAAAACTTTTGACCTAAACCAAAATTTATTGATGCAAACAAATTTCTTTTTAAATATTTTCATAAATGTCTTATTTATAATATAAAAAGTTTACGATCCTTTTTTTTGCTAACATGCTGATATACGTAAGTGATATAAAGATACGCTAAGAAAAATCTTAATTCTTTTCCAATTCTACAATGCACAATACATTACGTAATTTGTAATTTTATGATTCAAAAGGCGTTATTCTATTTCATTTCTTTTGTTGGTTTCGCTTCGTGATCGGGAGGCCCGTGTTCGTTTCTCGTTCGCGATGCCGCGTCATACCTAAGACGTAAACATAGGGAATGACTGTTCCTTCGCCAAGCGCTCGGCACGGGTATGTCGGATATGACTTTAAAAACGTAGGTCTCGTGTCACGGTAGGAGTTGGCACGATAAAGTACCCTCACTGCTCAATGGTCCTGAATGCCGAGTAAGGTCTAATTTGAAGCCCTTCACCGGAACAGGTAACGTCTCCATATGAGTGAAAAATTCTCGAGAGGGACGTTAAACAACATAAATCAATCAATCTTTTGTTCGTAACAAAGAAGTGACTGGTTTCTTGACAACAATTACTATTTTTAGCGCTGGTTTAAATGACTAAACATTAAAAGAACCTGAATTAATTCAGTACTCAGAAGAAAATGATGGTAAAAAAATTGTTAAAATTAGCAATTCAAGCCACAAGGCCAAATTAGATTAACAGTTGGTCACTTTCTGCAGATATGGCTTTTTGCCCTGAATATGATGTGAACAAAACACATTAAAAATCTAATTTTCTACAGAAAAATAGCAAAAATACCAAAATTTAACAATACGTTTTCGACAAAGTATAACGTGAACGGAAGTACATATATATTTCTTAAACCTGAACGTACCTCTTATTTACTGTGGTCAGATTGGAAAACTGACCAGCCAAAAACGATTTCATGATCAAATCCAATTGAACAATTGACTAGCATATATTTTAAGTAAATGCCTGTGCTTTTAACTAATTGTTTTACGGTAAGGACATAATCTAAAAATGCATTTAAAAATTTGTTCTTTTGAATAGTTCAATCTACATGTATTACGAATTGCTACAGTAAGTGTTGTTTGAAATTTTTTTCATGTCTTCCAATGCTTGATATTGGCTCTGCTGAACGCGTTTCAATTGACTTAAACGAAAAAATAGATTTGAAGAATAAAACTCATTAAAAAAATGTCATTAACATGATGAAGTAAGCATATTTACAAAAAAAAGGTATGATTCAGCCACACAACTGAATTTTTAGAACGTAAAATATAACGTGTGTTACAACAAATGATTGAAAAATGAAAGATAAGAAAACATTAGAGAATTAAAATTACAAGCAAACAAGGGGCTTATGGGACAATTGCTCACATGTTTTTAGTCCCTTACCTGTGAAACCGGAGGGGACTATAGGTTTCCTCTGCGTCTGTCCGTCCGTCTGTCTGTCTGTCCCCGTCTGTCTGCCAGTCTGTCCCACTTGGTTTTCCGCACTTTTTTCTAAACGCTTGCAGATAATGAGCTGAATTTTGGTATGTGAGTGTATCTTGATGAGTTACAGATCAAGTTTGAATTTCGCATAATTTTTCATTAAATCACAAATAATTAGAAGTGGATTTGGAAATTTAATGATGAATGTACACGACAGGATTATCAAGGAAACCGATAGACGAATTTAGATACGAAAAGCTCACAGGAGCCAGCTTGTGGCCCATGTGACCTAGAAATAAAAAAGATAAATAATAAGGAAAAAAAAATACAATCTCATTTTTCCGTTATTTCCCGATCATGACAAGGAGCACATGGCAGGTGTGACCGATCGGCAGGGGTCACTTCTCAATGGCACCTGATCCCACCTCTGATGTTTTGGAGGTCCGTGTTTGCTCTGCTCCTTTTTTGTATTGTTTAGTGGACTTTTAATCTTGAATGCTGTTTGTTACCTCTACATATGTTTCAATGAAAAAAATCTATTTAAAAAAGGAAAATACTTTACAATATAAAAACTAGCCTTTCTTATTGTCCCTCTTTACATGGTGAATTTATATCTTTCCACTAATTGTTATTTGTGTTCAGAATAGAAATCGCTCATTTGACTCATTTGCTTAAATGTAAAAGGGTTTTTCGGACGAGACTGCAGAAACTCACGTCCCGTGTGATCAATAGAAATCTCGCACGAAAAAAGATACCTCAATACTTAATTACCTTGAGTGCAGAGAATAGGCCTAAATGCAACCGTTAATCGGTAAGTGATGGGGTATTAATATGACTGAAAAGTTACTGAAACGTGCAAGAAACAAACTTTTCCAGAATTTTATTTTCTTTTACCCTTTCTTTTTCTTAGATTCATATTCATATCATATTAAAATACCCATTTGAAATCAGCCCTCCTAGAATTTAAAAATACAAGGTAAAATAATCTTTAAATAAACATTTCTTAAATCAAAGACTTTAAAACTTTACTAAATATATGACACTATGAATGAACTTTTGTGTTTGCATGCAAATTTAAATAGGAAATTGACTTGCTAAAATACAAGGTGATTTGCTTAAATCAATCGAATACATGCATTTCAAAAATCATGTGTATCGCAATGCTTTTTAAGGCATGTAATGTAATTTTCTGTATCCCATTAGTTTGAGTGACGTATTTTGTGGAAAAAAATCTTTTACTTCGAATCAAGCCAAAAACGAAAAAAAAGACTAATGAGCCTGGGCTGGGTTTCACAAAACTTTCGTAAGATTTGTCCTAAGATAGATCTAACGATCATCTTAAGATCTGACTTAAGACAATCATAAGATTTCACACT